TAAGGGGTTTTTTTTCTTTCTGAGTAATTATTGGGAAATTTTTAAATGGTTTTAAGAAGGAGATGTGAGTAGGTATTATTGTCAGACTTGTGGATAGGCTGGAAAACTCAAGACAATAGGGAAACTCAAGATTTTTTGAGCACAAATCTAGAAGAGTTGTGTGGATATATTTTTCAATAGTACTTGAGATCCCATGGGAAGGATCTAGTATTAGAGAGTAAGCTAGCTGGGTGGAGGGTGAAAATATAACAGATAGTTTATATGTAAAATCAAATCAAGCTAAATACAGTGTCTGAATTGGGTTTTGAATAACAGCTCCAAGTTTTAATAATATAGTGAAGTAAAATTTAGATGTCAGGTATCCTGACTTACCCTATGATTTCCTAATGACCCAGGAGGAAAGATTTGGAATACAAGGTAGGATGATGGATTGGTTAAAGCTGTCATCCCAGGGCACACCACGCCCATTCTGATCTTGGTGGGAGTAATGGAATGGACAGCTCATAATTTCAGGAAGGCTTTTGTGAAGATTTCTGTGAATCATTTTGTCATCATTTCATCTTTTTTTAACATCTTATTTTTAAATTACATAAAATGCATAAAATGCATACATAGAATATTATTAAAAATATATTCATTTTACAACCTCTTCTATAAATTAAGCTGCAAACTCTGTCTAGCTCTTACTTAATGTACTCATAGGATTAAAAGTGCTTTTTAAATTGAGGCTAAATCAAATTATACTTTTGGAATACTTCAGTTACTGTTCTTCCTATCTCTTTGGAACAATGACTTTGAACTGGGAATTCAGTAACCAGAAAAATGTGAACTGGAAGTGAACCCAGAAGGAGAGGCAGGAATTACTCACTTTGAATTAAGAAACTTCAAAATTGTGTGTACCGTTTTTGTATGTGTGTGCACAGTGCAGGGGCTTGGGGGTCTGTGGGAAGATAGATATGGTGGTTAGTAGCTTTCATCAACTTCTCAAAGACACCCAGAAAAGGATAAGCGCTACCATTTCCAACAACCAGATTTCCTTATTCTTCCCCAAGGTCCTCAGCCTTCTGTACATACCTCATTACAGCCACTCCTAACCGCTCCTTTGAACTGCAAATGGTATTTAAAAGTAGTCCTGGGTTGATTTTAATAACAGATTGCATGTCCTTACATTCCTGAACATCCCGTGTTTAAAAGAGGTCATTTGGAATTCCTATAAAATGCTTGTAAGGGGAACATTGTTTTTTGTTTTGTTTCTTAAATTATCTTGTTAGATACCCAAGCTCCAGTGGTTCCATACTGGCGCCTGCCTGGTTTGGGCATTATTGTCTACCTGCTGAAGCAGAGCGCTAATGACTTCTTCAGCTACTACGACAGTCATCGACGGAGTGTCAACAAGCTGCAGAATGTGGAGCAGCTTCCTCCAGATGAGATAAAAGAGGTAGGAATTTTGTAATGAGCTGTGGATACTTCTGTGAAGCCGTCGCTTTTGCTATTAAGGGCATTGCTCACTATTACTGTGTCACACTTGTGAGTAAAGATGATGTATGCAGTAGACAGAAGGAAGAAGAGTTCCTGGCCTTGGATTGCATCTCGTAAGCACAGCAACTCTTGACTGAAGACAGGGGCTTATGCCTCTTCAAGACCACCTGCCATTAGTAGACAGGCAGTGACCTTTGAGTAAAGAATTTCGGTAACTCTGAAACCTGTGCTGAGAAACTCGAGTTCCTACTGCAGATGTTTTTTTCAGTAGAAGGTTGTCTTAGTGTCTTTAGTATCTTCAATATCTGCTGAGTGAATTTTTCAGACAAATGATGTGGTGTATCAGACCTGACTGCTTGCTCTTGGTGTCTGGAATCATCCCCTGGTACTTACTGTAGCTAAAGTGCTTGCTCTCTTAGTAGCCTGTTTTCTTTCTGTTTGGCACAGCTGAACATAAGGCATCTCTTTGTGGTGTTGAAGCTTCTTGGTGGCCTGTTGTAGCCTGGCTATTGAGCCACTTTGCCAATCCTGGTTCCCATGAGGTTTTTTGAAAAATTTCATTCACTCTTAAGAGTAGTCAAAGTTACTCTTCGGTTGTAGGGAAAAATTATTTTATTAATGATGTGCCAGGCCCTGAGCTGCATGTTTTACCTGAGCACAGGAGGCAGATATTGTGTCCACTCCCCATTTCTCAGATGAGGAAGCTGAGACACCAAAAGTTTGAGTAATTGACCCAAAGCCACATAACCAGCAAGTAAAGCGGAGGCAGGAATGACTGACCGGGTTCAGATAACCCCTGAAATTGTGTGGTTTACACCTGGCAGTTCTTCCAAATGCAGAGCATTTCATGGGTGATGGCAGGACTGACCAGAGGTGCTATAGCGTCACAGTGAACTATGTGGAGCTCACCAGCCCCACGCCAGTCTGCTCTCTGCCAAGCCTAGTGACTGGACATTAATTGAAATGGTTGTGTTTATAGGTGTGCCAGGTTGAGAGGTGGCCAGGGGAGTTATGTTCTAGAAGTCTACATCATCTTCACAATATGCATGATAGCTGTTACAGAAATGTCCACAGTATTGTTACACCTGCTACTTGAAACTCATGTTCTGTTTTGTTTTAGTATTACGGGGAATTCAGGGTTGGGGCCCATCATGAAAATGTGTTTCCAGGGCAAAGCTTTTTCAGAAAGCAATAGATGAACATTCATTTGTGAAGTCAAATGCTGCTTTGACGCTTGTTGGTTTGTTTTTTAATTACTAGCTTCCTAACTTGATGATAAACTCTTGCTTGTGAGGGTGTTTAAACTCATTTGAGTGTTTTTCCTAATACTTAACCATAAGCAACCCTCTAAGAGTAGAGTTTCATCTATTTTGTTATGTTTAAGATTCTTAATATTGCATGTTTCTTTTTCTTAGTTGTGTCAGTCTGTGATGCCTGCTGGTGTTGATAAAATCTCCACTGCCCAGAAATATCTTCTAGCAAGACGGCGGTTGGTGAAATTGATCAACAATCGAGCTAAACTGCTATCCCTTTGTTCTTGTATCCTTAATGAAATCAAGCATGACTTGAACGGTGACCTTTTAATAGAGTCTTCACATGTGGGAACTGTTTCCTTATTATCACACTATTTGGGGACTCAGAACTATATGATAGAGACATGGTTACTGTTAATTTTTTCCCAGTAATACCTGTTAGATTACCAAGTGGAAATTTTTTTTTTAATCTTTCAAATAGCTGATACTCCTGATAATATATAAAAACTGTCTGGACAGACAACAAGGACATGGAGATGGTGCTAGCATAGTGCTTCACAGCCCCCACCTCCTCCTTCTCAGCACACCTGGCTGTTTTGGGACCAGACACCTTTGGTGTCTGTTAGACAGAGGGTGTGGGCACATCTCTAATTGAGTCTGTTCCTTTTCCCCAGAAACTGGTTTGTAGGTCTGTGATGAGATTGTTTTCCTTTCATTTGAGCTCTCCCCAGTTATCATAGAGACCTGCCTGTTTATTCTTTGGCGCCACCTGGAGTACTACCTGTTGCATTGCACTCCCACGGATTCTCAAGATTCCTTGTTTGCCTCCAGGACTTTATTTAAAAGCAGAAAACTACAAGGTAGGTGTCATTCTGAAAATTAATGAACTATGAATGCCTCTACACTGTAGTACCTTGAGAAATTAGTTACATTTTTTCTTTTTATTTTATGTTTTTGGGTTATTAAGAGTGTATTGGGTAATAGAGAGATACTTAGTTATTGGACATAGCTATTTTCTGTATTTTGCTTCTGGCCATGGGACATGGTATGGGTCATAAAGGTATCTTAGAGACTTCTCAGTTTCTTGCAGTTAAGGGCTAATCTAGACTCTCCTGATAAATAATTTTCCAGAAGAATGGAAGTGGGTCAGTGTAGGCCATAATTTTTGCTCTTGGAGTGAGCCTATGACCAATGCATATACATTAGATTCCTTAGATAGGAAGAAACAAAAGAAAATCTTGAGAACCTTCTCCTAGACCAGTGAAGTGCTTCTGGGGCCTATATATACTGAAACTGAAATAGTTACTAGTGTTAAGCCATTTTTTTCATTGCACTGTAGTTCACTGTCTTCAGCTTCTTTCATTGGCAATAGGTACATACTTGCAAAGCTGAGTTGACTGTGCGTTTTATCTCTAGATTCCTTTGCTTCAGACACTAATCTGGACTTCAGAAGTGGGCTGACTATAGTGAGCCAGCATGACATCGACCAGGTACAGTTCCGTTCTCATGCTCTTTTTGTTTACTTACTTAAATTTATTTATTTAGTGTTCTGATCTGTTACTCTTTTGTTTACTTAATATTTACTTATTTATTTATTGGACATGGAGAGGAAAAGCCAAATATATTTGTAAGATTATCATTTTCAAGGTTACATACAAAGACCTGATTTGAATTTTGGCGTGGCCACCTAACAGCTTTGAGAAATTGGCTGAATTTTTGAGCTTTATTTCCTCATCTAAGAAATAGGAATGATAATTCAACCTCAAAGAGTTTTGTCAGAATTAAGTGAAGGTCGATAATGTGAAGTGCCTAGGGTAGTCCTGGAACATATTAAGAGTTTAGTAATTGGTAGGCCTTATGATCTGGAAACTCCCTAAATTCTTTATGATGAACTTCATGGATTTTTTAAGCACTTAATTTCTCAGAAAATAATTTAATGATAAGATTGTGAGCAGCCATTAAAAATGCAACTGTAGCAGACTATAATATTACATTATACAGTAATATATCCTTAGTAACCTCTTTATCAATAGTGTTAGGATGAAGGAAGAGCAGTCCAAAAAAATTAATGAAAACCTCATTAAACTAATAACGACATCTTATTCCTCACAGAGCCTCTATTGTTCGTGTGATACTAGGAAAAGTATGAATTACAGCTAGCTCTGCTGCTAGGCCTCTGGATGTCCTAAACAATGAGTTGACAATGCCCCTGCCTTTCTCCAAGCCCCCTTGGTCACTGCCTTTCCGAAAGCTGAAGGTTGAAGCTACCTGCAAAGGAGAGGAACAGCTTCAGATACTTAGCCAGTCGTCATGGATACCACACAGTCAGCCTAACCTCGCCTATGTGACTTCATAATAGTAATTCATTTTTTGGCTAGCCTTCCTTAGGGAAGCTAGTATTAAATGAGGTCATGGCAGAGTTAGCTAAAGAATAGATTATCTGGAAGATGTTTAATAAACATGTTGAATTAATAACTTACTGTTTCAGTCAGCTGGTCTGTTGTAAAGTTAGAAAAAGTCAGGATTTAAAAATATTCTATGGTTTGATTTTAATACGAAACTAAAAGCAGGTAGATTCATCTAATTTTGTATAGTACTTAAAAGATGGATTCAGAATTGCATATGCTTTTTTTTTTTTTTTTTTTTTTAATAGAGGCATGTTTATTTATTTATTTATTTGTTTGTTTGTTTTGTTTACACATGCACTGGGTACAGTCAGAAGCACAGGAGGGTGAGAGAATTCACCAGAGCCAGAGCGGGAAGCAGAGTAGGCAGAAGGACCGAAGTACACTGCTGAGGGGAGCAGCGGGCTGCAGGAGAGGTCTGCGCGCCATGTGGGACCCTCCTCTGGTGGCCGGGGAGCAGCCGGGGATCGAACCAGCGCCGTAGAGGCCGCGGGCAGGTTCGCAACCCAGCGCTCAACCGCTGCGCCACCGGGGAGGCCCTGCATATGCTTTCTAAGAAATATGAATTCTAAAGTATACACCAGGTTTCCTCCCCACATTCAGATTTATTTTTTTGAAAGTAAAAGAATGCAAAGTTTTTTTAATTGAAAAAAGGAAGTGAAAATTAAAAGCTTCTTTCCAACCTGTTCTCTGTTTATTTCCTTAAAGACACTCTTAATAGCATCTTACATGATCCTTCAGGAAATGTTTTCCTGCATATGTCAGTTTATCAGCAGCATGACAAATGGAAATGTTATTTAAAAGTTGTTTTAAAACAGAATCAATGGTTGTTGCTATTTAAACCCTATTTAAAATTTCACATATTGGATGTGAAATTTTTCCCTTTTTTATGCAAAAAAAGGAAAGGGGAAAACATCAGTATCATACCAATACATTTTCAGGTGGAAAATGTTAATGTTTAGTTTATTTGGGGCCTGAGAAAGGACTACATTATGAAAATTCAAAGGTAAGACATGGAATAAAGGAAGTACTTGAGACTGCAGTTTTAATAATGAAATGTTATCTCTGTTGCCTCTAGCTTCAGTCTGATGCCATCAGTGCTTTTGGTGAATCTCTACAAAAGAAACTTCTGGACATTGAAGGATTATATTCAAAAGTCCGATCTCGCTATAGTTTCATACAAGCTCTTGTCAGACGTATCCGAGGCCTGCTGAGGATATCACGGAATTGAGAACTTATGCTTACACTCTTCCAGGGAAGAGATGAATTGGGAAAAACCCTCTCCTTTTTATAGATAAGTTTGTTTCTAAATTATGACCAAAAAATATTTTGCTATTTCTTTCTTTATATATGGATATCTTTTCTGTAAACTTCTTAGCCTGGTTCCATTCTCACCAGTAAAAAATAAATACTTTTTAAAAAAATGAAATAAATGTATGGTCAGTCTATTGAAACTTTACCTAAAAGATGATCAGCATCAGGAATCTAGCAAATAAATCTTCCATTGTGGTGGCTTCCCTCAGGAGTATTCTTCTGACTGCTAGGTTAAAGGTCTTGTCTGGAGAGTCTAATGTTTTCTCCCTTATGTCTACATTCTTCTTTTTCTGATGTTCAGGAGTACTTCATGGAGTCAAGTGGATAATAAACTATAGCCGAGTTCTTTCATGGAATATGCTACTCAGTACTGTGAATCATGTATTACAGAAACGTCCAAAAAGTAAAGCCTTCTCTTTCCTAAAATTATTTTTATTTTTTAAAAATATTTATGTATACAAGAACTGGGGTACAGGCCAGAGGTATGGGAGGGTGAGAGGATTCACCAGAGACAGAACAAAGAGCAGAAGAGGCAGATGGACTGAAAACTCTGCTGAGGGGAGCAGCAGGCGAGACGAGAGGTCTGTTGCGCCATATGGGTAGCTGCCTGGCCTGCTAGGGATCGAACCCTCGCTGCAGAGGCTGGGGACAGCTTCATAGCGCAGTGCTCAACCCGCTGCACCACCAGGGAGGTCCCCTAAAATTATTTTTAAATTTTTTTCTTTTTCCCAAAATTAGTGGTATTTTTTCTTGTCATGTATGTAAGTAACAATATAGTTTGCATGTGTTTCTTAGCTGTGATTACAAAACTTCTCAAATTCATCATCTGCTTCTATTTCTCATATAATTAATATGATGGCTACAATTAGGGCAAGAGAATTTATACAATCACCATTTTACTTCTTGCCCAGTTATATTTATGTTCAGTGACAACTTCCTCTGAAAGTCCATTTTTCCATTTCTAGCCACCAATTATTTCAGCCTTATGTATCAGAGACATTGCTGAGAGAGGAGTCTTGACTCTTACACAGTAGCTGAAAGTTACTACTTAGTTCTGTGTGTTGCTTTTTCAAAAATCTTGTCATCAAATTTCCATGGCGTTTAAGCATTCTTTTAAAAAGGCTTTGTCAATGTTATGTATTGAAAGTAACTGAATACCATGTGTAAACATTAGACTTTTGATAGGAAGCATTGTGCTGAATAAACACAAGTCTTAAAGGATGTGGATAAACTGATAGCTGGGTCCCGTGTAGTAATGCTGTTGCTCCACTGCTCAGGCATGTGGTAATCTTTATCTGGAGCACAGACAGGAGCTTGGGGGTCATCAGAAGAGAACTGGGGGCACAGATGCCAAACATTTTATAAACCTGAAGTGTGAAATGGAGATATTAAACTCAACTGATAGTAAACTAAATTTGAAATTAATTAAAAATTTCAGTTTACCAAGTATATCTTCTCCCCTTCCCCTTTATCCCCTTTTCTCCTGAAATGGCAGTACACCGGGCTAGAAGGTAGGGCAGTGCAGAGGCCTCTGGGAGAGAGGGGAAGGAAGGATTGCAGTGTGGTCAGATATGCTGTTTGCATAGGAAACCAGCAGAGAGGCTAACCCTGAGCCACAGGGGCTCCACCTGACTCAGCTTCTGCACCTGCTCCTGGAGAGGGGCTTGGTGTCGCCCCTGCTCTTAAGCAAAGCACAGGATAAATAGATTTTAGATATCTTGTTTTAAAAAGTTTTAGCATTTAAAGGGTAGGTTCACTTACTCCTCAAGAATACTAAATAGGGCCTCCCTGGTGGCGCAAGGGGTTAAGACGCAACCTATGAAGGGCCTCCCCGGTGGCGCAGCGGTTGAGCGCTGGGTTGCGAAGCTGCCCGCAGCCTTTGCGGCACCGGTTCGATCCCCGGCTGCTCCCCGGCCACCGGAGGAGGGTCCCACAGGGCGCGCAGACCTCTCCTGCCGCTCGCTGCACTTCGGTCCTTCTGCCTGCTCTGCTCCCCGATCTGGCTCTGGTGAATTCTCTCACCCTCCCGTGCTTCTGACTGTGCCCAGTGCATGTGTAAACAAAAACAGACAGACAAATAAATAAATAAAGAAAACATGCCTCTATAAAAAAAAAAAAAAAAAAAAAAAAAAACAGTAAGACGCAACCTATGAAGCTGTCCCTGACCGTTGCAGCACGAGTTCGATCCCCAGCCAGGGAGCTACCTACATGGCGCAGCAGACCTCTCCTGACTCGCCTGCTGCTCCCCTCAGCAGTGTATTTCAGTCGATCTGCCTGTTGTGTTCCCCACTCTATCTCTGGTGAATCCTCTCACCCTCCCGCATATCTGGCCTGTACCCCAGTTTTTGCATGCATAAATAAATAAATCTTTTAAAAAAAAGAATACTAAATAAATATAAAGTCTTAATATATTGTTTTTACTGAGTAAATCCGTTTGATGGGGTGAGAAAATCAAAGAGTTACCTTTTCCCTAATTATTGTAGTTTTCATAAAGCAGTGCTGTGTAAATTGATAATGTCTGAACTTTATCTCACTTATCAAAACTATTCATCACAATCTAGTCTTTTCTATGAATTTAGCTTTTGCTTTCCCAACTTTTTGAAGCATTTTGAATCTTTTGAACATTTGAAAGAAAAGTACAGTGAACCAAACAACTTTCCACTAGCTTCACCAACTGTCAACATGTCTCACATTTGCTTTATCTCCTTTTTATATGTATCCATGTTGTTTTGACCTTAGGGCTCACTCTTGATGGTGTACATTTTTTTTTTTATTTTATTTTATTTTTTATTTATTTTTTTGACAACAAAACATTTAATTATTTTTTTTTCTTTTTTTTTTTTTTGCCCCATTCTGACCCCAATCCCTCCCCTCCCGGCCCCCACCCCCCAAAAAGTGTCTCTGGTTCATAGTTTTTTGTTGATTTTAATTTTCACTTTCTTATAGTTATTCATTTTCCTGGTCCCTTATTTAAGTTTTCTAGATTCCTGCTATGAGTGAGACCATCCAGTATTTTTCTTTTTCTTTTTGGCTTATTTCGCTGAGCATGATCCCTTCCAGCGCCATCCATGTTGCTACAAATTGCATGTGTTTATCTTTTTTGAATGCTGAGTAATATTCCATGGTATATATGTACCACATATTCTTGATCCAGTCATCTATTTTTGGGCATTTGGGCTGTTTCCAAAGCTTAGCTATTGTAAATAGTGCTGCTATAAACATAGGGGTGCAGGTGTTCTTTGGAGTTGATGTTTCTGTGTCCTTTGGGTAAATACCTAGGAGTGGAATTGCTGGATCCTATGGAAGCTCTATGTTTAGTAGGTCCAGAAATCTCCACACAGCTCTCCATAGTGGTTGGACCAGTTTGCACTCCCACCAACAGTGCAGAAGAGTTCCTTTTTCTCCACAACCTCACCAACATTTGTTGTTGCTAGTTTTTTTAATATGTGCCATTCTCACTGGTGTAAGAGGGTATCTCATGGTAGTGTTGATTTGCATTTCCCTGATTACAAGTGATGTTGAACATTTTTTCATATGTCTGTTGGCCATTTGCATTTCCTCTTCAGAGAAGTTTCTTTTTAGCTCTTCTGCCCATTTTTTGAC